TTGTTTAGGATGGCGAGAAACCTGTTTGCCTCAGTCACAGGCTCTGAGCTTAGTGAGGAAGGTCATGGTCAGGCAATAGGGGCACAGTGAGCACTTGGTTCAGGAACTGGGGCATAAATCGAGCAACGGCTCTTTCTTATCTCCTTTGTTGTTCAGTTGCTCAGTTGTGTCTGACTCTTTGTGACCCCATGGACCGCAGCACGCCAGGCCTCCCTGTCCATCACCAACTCCTGGAGTTTACCCAAACTCATGTCCATTGAGTTGGTGATGCCATCCAGCCATCTCATCCTCTGTTGTCCCCTTCTCCTCCTGCCCTCAATCTTTCCCAGCATCAGGGTCTTTTCCAATGAGTTGGCTCTTCGCATCAGGTGGCCAAAGTATTGGAACTTCAGCTTCAGCGTCAGTCCTTCCAATGAATATTCAGGACTGATTTTCTTCAGGATTGACTGGTTTGATCTCCTTACAGTCCAAGGGACTTTCAAGAGTCTTCTTCAACACCACAGTTCAAAAGAATAAATTCTTCAGCTCTCAGTCTTCTTTATGGTCCAACTCTCAAATTCGTACATAACTACTGGAAAAACCATAGCTTTGAGTATATGAACCTTTGTTGGCAAAGTAATGTCTCTGCTTTTTCATTTGCTATCTAGATTGGTCATAGCTTTTCTTCCAAGGAGCAAATGTATTTTAATTTCATGGCTGCAGTCACCATCTGCAGTGATTTTGGAGCCCAAGAAAAAAAATCTGTCACTGTTTCTATTGTTTCCCCATCTATTTGCCATGAAGTGATAAGACTTGATGCCATGATCTTAGTTTTTTGAATGCTGAGTAGTTTTAAGCCAGCTTTTCCACTCTTCTCTTCATCAAGAGGCTCTTTAGTTCTTTATTTTCTGCCATAAGGGTGGTATATCTCTATATCTGAGGTTATGGATATTTCTCCCAGCAATCTTGATTCCAGCTTGTGCTTCATCCAGCCTGGCATTTTGCATGATGTACTCTGCATATAAGTTAAATAATCAGGGTGACAATATACAGCCTTAACATACTCCTTTCCCAGTTTCGAACCAGTCCACTGTTCCATGTCTGGTTCTAGCTGTTGCTTCTTGATGTGAATACAGGTTTCTCAGGAGGCAAGTCAGGTTATCTGATATTCCCATCTCTTTCAGAGTTTTCCACAGTTTGTTGTGATCCACACAGTCAAAGGCTTTAGTATCTTATCCTTCAGATTGTGTCCCTGCTACCTGCTTACCTTCCCCGTCCCCCCACCCTTCCAACTATGTTTGTGGTTTGCTAATACTTAGCTAGTCAGCAGGTTTTCAATCCCTTTTAAAAAAATAATTTTATTTATTTATTTTTTTATTTTTGCCTGTGCTGGGTCTTCACTGCTGTGTGGACTTTTTCTCTAGTTGAGGTGCTCAGTCTTCTCCTTGCCGTGGCTTCTTTTATTGTGGAACACTGTCTCTAGTCTTGTGGGCTTCAGTCATTACACTCCCAGATTCCAGAGCACAGGCTAAGTAGTTGTGGCACATGGGCTTAGTTGCTCTGAGGCATGTGGGGTCTTCCTGGACCAGGGACAGAACCCAAGTCCCCTACTTTGGCAGGTGGATTCCTGACCACTGAGCCACAAGGGAAGCCCTTTAATTATCCTTTTGAAGAGCTGATTAGCCTGGTTTCAAACACATCAACTCAAAAAAAGATTTCTTGTTGATAGCTTGAGTGAAAGCTTCAAGGGCATTTAGGAGTCAAATGAGTACATGTTCTTCCAGATGAGAATCACCAATTTGGAAATATGTAAAGATCTGAGAAATCTCCTGGCCAACCTCTTTATTTCATACAGGAAATAAGAGGAAAAAAAGTTTCCCAATAAGAAACTTGTAGTTTTGGGAACCAGATCTCTTGTCTCTAAATTCATTCAGGGTTTTTTCAGTGGGTTGTAGAAGGAATATAGCCTAGAGGTTAACATTTTGGGCCCTGGAATTGGGCATCTTGGGTTTGAATCTTGGCTCTTGGTCACATAATTGCCTGTTGACTTTGGGAAGAGTCTCAGTTTATCCATCTTTAAAATGGGACAGGAAAGCCAATTTGTTATCTGCAGGGAATAAAAAAAGGTATATATTCCATTTGTTCTATTGTACAAGAGCTGTCTGATGTGTAGGCAAGGGTTGATGTAAGGGTCTTGTAAAGAAAGAGCCTTTTGGCCAAAGGTATTCATCTCCCCGTCTGCCTTACCACCCTGCATGAAGAACCCCTGTGTCCGTTGCTTCTTCAGCATGAGCACCCCAAACTGCTGTTAAAATAGATGAATTAACAAAATGGGATCTCACATTAGGTCATGATGTTCATTAATACTGTGGTCTGAATGACATCCTCCAATTTATCCTGAGCCAGCTGATGGATGGTGAGGCTAGGAGGGTGATCTGAGGACCTGCTTGGAAGGGCACCATGGCCCCATTTGGTAAATCACTCGAGGGTACACGGGTACCCCAGAGGTTCCATTTTCAATATGGAACAGATCTAATCACTGTCCTCCAGCCACCAGGGCCAGTGGAGGGTTGCAGAGGTGACTCTCAATCTCTAGCAAGTTCACATTTCTTTCGGCCTTGTATCCCTCTCTGGTTCCTTGCTCTTTAAGAAGAGGATGACTTCGTTAGAAACCTAGCAAGCATTAAGTTCCTTGTACTCTCTTCTTGAAAGCTAAGTTTCCCTGATAGTCTCTTGTAAATATTTATGTGTTTATTTGCTGCGTCGGGTCTTAGTTGTGGTGTGTGGGCTCTTCTGTTGTGGCGCATGCCATGCAGGCTCCAGAGCATAGCTGTGGCTTTGCAGGCTTAGCCATGTAAGCTCAGTCGTTGTGGTGTGCCCCAAGGCATGTGGCATCTTAGTTCCCCCAACCAGGGATCAAACCCGCATCTCCTGCAGTGGAAGGCAGAATCTTAACTACTGGACCATAAGGGAAGTCCTGCTAATCTGTTATAAATGGGGAAAGCAAACGTGTGTTTCTCTTTACACTTTTGTCTTTTGCATTCAGTAAAAGGGACAAATGCTACTTTGTCTGTGTGTGTGGGGAGCAGGAGGAGAATGTGAGTTCGCTTAAAGGCAAGATTTGAGACTCAGAAGCAGCAGTTGGTGGGGCTTCTGAATTCTGTTCCTGCTTCTGAGGACCAGAGAACTCAGAGGTGACTTCTCACTGGAAGAGCCCCATCCTTCACCCTCAGGCTGCCCTTTCGCAAATAGGTTGATACGAAGAGTTCTGGATTGAGTCCACAGTCAAACAGATCTATGCTGGCTCACCTGCTGTGTGGTCTGATATTTTAAAATTTTACCCTTTTGGGTTAATCTCTTTTTTAAACATCCAAGCAGTCCTGGAAAGGACTGCCAGTTAATCTCTTGCTATTGCTTGAAGGGTCCTCCTTGGGGGAGTGTCAGGAAACCCCAATTCCAGTCTCTGTTCCAACTCCAAATTACGAGGTGACCCCGGGGACAGCCACTTATCAATCACCTGAGTTTTGTCATCTGCATCTACAGGAAACTCTCGCACCTCATTGTGTGGGAACATAGGTGAGCTAGGATAGGAAGGGCCCATGACAAGGAAGAAAAATCACTTTTCTTCAAAGTTGAGTCAAGTGTCTGTCAGGCAGTCTCCCTTTGTTGCACTGGGATCTGAAGAAGGCTCCGAGGTGCCTCCCAGGTCAGCATCCCTCACATGCCTGAGATGAACTTTCCCCAAGCCTAACCTGTGAGGAGCTGGCTCCTCTTGCAGCCTGAGAGTCGGGGGAGAGCTGGTGGCTATTTAAATGTGGGCAGAGAAAGGGTATCAGGGCAGTGGTGCGCACGGTACTGGAGCTTGTCTGGGTGTGTATAGTAAGCGGTTGTTTTTATGGAGAAGCATGGAGGCACTGATGGCGGTTACAGGAGAGTGAAGCTCCTCTTTGCCCAGCCGTTAGCACTTGGAGTGAGCTGACAGTGGTGAGGAGAGGCGTCCTGCCTTGGGCTCCCTCCTGCCAGCTGAAATGGCAGCTGCCCTGCCCCTTCCTTGGGTATTTGCAATTCTTTACTACCTACTTATCTGAGAAAGGCAACCTGGGGCCTCAGTGAGGCTTGGGGTGTCCATTATCTTCCCAAATGCTTGCTGGCCTCCGGCCTTCTACACTCACCCTGAGACCAGTCCCCATCTATGATTTTCCTTAACAGCAAGAGTTACCGTATTGCTGGGCTCTGCCATGTGCCAAGCCCTGGGGTTGCATCAGAGAAGATCACAGACTGCCTCCCTGTGGTATCTTTGTGTGTGTGTGTGTGTGTGTGTGTGTGTGTGTGGTGAACATGCACAAGACTCAAACAACTTCACCAGTAGAAAATTGATTTACCGGGGGTCCTTCCCCTACTGTAACCAGCCTCCCCCAAAATAGTTTTTAGAATCACAGGATGTTGGAGCCAGTCCAGTTCCTGTCCTGAGCATTTGGGGAATCTGAGTGAACCTCACTTTGAGGTTGAAACTTGGGGAAGCTTTGTCCAGAGTCACGGCAGAAACTGTGGGCAGAGCTGGAGTGGTAGGTCTGTCCTCTGACTCCTGGCTCGGCTGCCCCAGGTCCTGTTATTCCTGCTCCGGCTGCAGGAGGGATGCAGCAGTTCCTCCCCCAGTGCTAGATGCTAGGTGGCACCAGCACGCTTTGGAACAGAAAGGCTCCTGTCTAGCTTCTATCTGAAAACGTTTGAATCCTCAGTGTGGGCGGCCTGGAGTCCTGGCTGAGCACTCCCCTCTCCTAAGGCCCTCATGAGGCCTGCCTGCCTGGGGGGCCACCCCAGATCAGTCCCATCTCCTTCATCCAGGGAACCCATCCCAGATGCCTTGGGGATCGGTTTGCTGGCTACCTGGAAGAATTCACTCCTGTGTGATTGATTTCTTCTGGGGCCTCTTTGTGCAGAATGGAAAGTTCTGCTGGGTGATCTTTCCAACTCCTCTGCTGAGTTCTGAGCCAAGTTCTTTGCGGTTTCTGTTCTTTCAGGACATTGTTGCTGTCCAACAAGGCTGGCTGATGCCACTGAGGATGTGAGGCAGTGTGGAAGGAGACCCCAGACACCCAGCCCAAATTGCCCACTTGCAGCATCATGAGTATATGAATCATTTTGGGGGTGGTTTGTTATGTTGCAGAAGCTGATTGAAATAGGAGAGAACAGTGCAGTAGTCTCCCCTTATCCATGATTATCCTGTCCATAGTTTCAGTTTACCTGTGCTCAGTCTTGGTCCAAAAAATACTAGAAAATTCTAGAAATAACTTCTAAGTTTTAAATTGCATGCTTTTGTGAGTAGTTTGATGAAATCTTATACCTTCCCACTGGGACATGAATCATCTCTTTGTCTAGCATGTCCACATGGCATATGCAACCCTACTGCTCAGCATGCTCTGGCATTGGTTTCCAGATCAGTGGTCCTAGTATCACAGTGCTTGTGACCAAAGTCACCCTTACTTTACTTAATAATGGCTCCGGCACACACCATTAGTGATGCCAGCAATTTGGATATTCTCTTTAGTACACCTAATTTATAAATTTTATCATAGGTAAGATTATATAGGTAAAAACATTGTATATGTGTGTATGTATAAAGTGAAACTGAAAGTCACTCAGTCGTGTCCAACTCTCTGTGACCCCATGGACTATACAGTCCATGGAATTCTCCAGGCCACAATATTGGAGTGGGTAGCCTTTCCCTTCTCCAGGGGATCTTTTTAGAATATAATCCCCTCGAGTAAGGGGGGACTGCTGTATCTACGTTGAAGGGTTGCAGTGAGGTTTACATGATAATATGAACTTAGATCTGTCCCTAGCACACAATAAGTGAATACAGTTGTTACCACTAACATCATCATGGGGCACTTCCTCTTGCTTTTTGGGTTCTAGTCCCAAGGACGACCCTTCATTTCTTCCTCCTCCTCCTCTTCTCCCTCTTCCTTCCCCCTCCCTCTTTCTTCTCCTTCTCCTTCCTCCTCCTTTATTATATATCAAACTCTACCTTTTTCACGGCTTTCATACTTAATTCTCTCCATTCAGAATGGGCCTTCCCTGCTACCTTGTTTTCACGGTTAGGGTCTCCTCCTCGAAAAAGCCCTCTGGTCACCCCAGCAACCCCTGCCTCCCATCCTTACCATTCTTGTTTCATTTAATTGTATGTCATTATCACATTTATTGATTCCTTGAATATTGTCTGGGTCCCCTTCTAGACTAAATCCCTTGAGGGCAGGAGCTGGCCCTGTATCCTGTATGCTTGCTACCCACCACACTGCTGTGTACAGTGGGAATTCGCTTGGTGTTTGAATGAGTGGGTGAAAAGAGGCACCTAATCAGTATGAGTTTGTGGTTGGTGTCAGGCTCCCAGGAAGAGACTATCCAGGTTGGAGTTTCAGAGAGAGAGAGGGGACTGTGCATGCTGCTTCTAATTCTTACAGCTGTTTAGGTTTGTGTCACAGTCTGTTTGGTCAATTATCTTCTTGATACCCTATGCCCAACAAGGATATGGGCTTCTTTAAGAAAGAGGTGGGTTTCTCACAACCCCAAGCACATTGTCAGGCATCTAGGAGGGGCTTAACAGAAGTTTATTGGATCAATAAATGGATGGATGAATGAGTGGATGTCAAGAAAGATGGATGGGCAGTAGTACTCAGACTGTAGGCAATGATGGGAAACCATGTTTATTCTTTTCTTTTAATAAAGGATAATATGTTCCCAGTCAATCTGTAAAAGGTCATGAATGTATAAAAATGTATTAATTACAATCATTAGCATTATGTTACAGAGAAATAGTTGTTATAACCTTTTCCCCTAAGATGGCACTTGGACGGACACGGTTTGCTTCACAGAAAAGGGCAAGAGTAGGTGACCAGTTGGCCTGGTCGGCCCGGGACTGAGGAATTTCCCAGGCTGTGGGGCTTTCAGTGCTAAAACTGGGAAAAGCCCAGGCAAACTGGGATGCTTGGTCATGCAAGAAAGAGAGCAGGATGAGAATGTCAGGTGTGCTTTGGCATTTAGGTACAGGTGATATTTTCTTTTCTCCACAATTTTGCTTCCTCTTAGCTCTCAAACAAAAATCCCTGGGTGTTACAGCTTTCAAAGGGTTTGAACAACCCTGTGTAATTTTTACTTGATCCTTATGCTGAGTCTGGGACGTAGGGCAGGGGAGGCATGCTACATCAATGCTCCTGGCTCCTAGAGAAGATGGGGCAGAGAAAAGATACACATCTCCATCTCCTGAGGCCAGTGATCTTCCCATTACTCTGTTCTTTTCTGAAATGTCCCACCTGTCTCATCTGGCTTTCAGGAGTGGACAGGAAACATAAAGGAAAAGGAAGGACCCTGAGATCCAAGCTTTGGCTCAGTCCCCTCATTTAGGACAATTTATATTATTACTGCTTTGCCTGATACATTCACCTGCTCCTCCTTGAACCATCCTCATGAAGGATTCCCCTGAAGCCCCACCAGCTGGCCAGTGCTGGCACCATTATGTGGCAAAGTCAGAGAGAGAGAGATCCAGTGTATTGACTCCAGGATGATGCCCCAAATGGCCCTTCCAGTTAAGGTTTGCCAGCAGGATGTGCAGGAGACCAGCTTACTCTGCCATCTGTCGGCTTGATTGTTGAGCTCTTTTTGGGTGCTTTTGCTGAGAAGTTATTCAAGTGATGTCAATTCGTGGGGTGGCTGTGACTTGCCACAATTGTTTCCACCCTTGTATCAATGCTTGTTGCTCAGTATCTAGGTACCACCTTAAGGCGGGTACTCACCTTAAAAGACTGGTGACAGGCTATCTTTGCCCATTGTACAGCTCGATTCTCTTGACAATGTATTAGAATCCTATCATCCATTCTTTATTCCAACACTGTTTTCCATACAAGATGTCTATGTAATTCTTTTTCCTGTGAAGTGAGACTTGCTCTGGCTCTCCCCTGTTCAGCTGAAGCCTGTGATGTTCTGGATGAATGGGGTTTAACATTGGTTCTACTCTTTCAGATGCTGTTGTTTGGGCTCAGAGTTGCTCTATCATCTGGGTTGTCTATTCTGGGTACAGCTGTGCAAAGGTTTGATCTTGGAGTTTGCCTTTTCTGAAAGCAGAATGAGGATGGGTACAGATTTCCCCTGCAGTCTGAAAATAGATCATTACTATGAAGAATGTCATAAGCTGAAATGGTATAAACAAAGAAGCAGTTACCTTAGGATACATCTTGCTAACAGATGTACAAAATAAATTGAGATAAGGCACAGATGCTCAGATAGAGTTCAAAGCTATGGCGGTTTGATTCTGAGGTGCTGTGCAGTTCCCAGGGAAGGAGGTTGGCAGTGCCACTGAATGCTTGGTTAGAGGTAGCCTGCACCTCTAACCACTACCTCTAATCACTGGCTGCAAAACAAATGCTGAATGCTCTCTTGGCCTTTTGTTTTGGTAAAAGGAAAAATTCTCTTTGGATTTCTTTTGGTTAGCAACAATAGGTACTAATATAGGTTTTTCCTTAAAGGGAAATGGTGCAAGGCAGACTTTGGAGAACTTGGGGATATTTATACTTTTATTTAAAAATAAATGAATATCTTAAAGAAGAATGCTGCCTATGTCCTCTTGGTAGGTTCCCCAGACTGTGGGACATGTGGCCAATTAGCTAAAGCATCGGGTTACTGGTGCACCTGTTCACTTTCACATGCTTGTTTTCTTTCTGCTCTTACCCTAGCTGTGGCCCTTCCACCTTTGGAAGTGTCTGTGGCTCTGAGTTCAAATCTGGTTTTAATCTTCAGATGTCCTTTTCTTTGGCTTAGAGCAGACCCAACTCTGAGAATGGAAGAGATGTTAACCCTGACATGACCATTCCTACAATACTCTTGAGATGAGGCATTGTGTGTATGAGACTCTTCTGAAACTTGAACTCTTGGCACTAAGGGATGAGGTGATGGTTTGACAAGCCCAGAAACTTCTAAATCTTGAGATATCAGCTAGGTCAAAACACTTCTTGGCATCTGGGAATCTGATGCAACCCAGTTGTGTTGGGTTGTAGGCTGTCATTATCCAGAGGCTGAGAGAATCTCTCTGGGCTAAAGAATGAAAAAACTCAATGCAATAGAAATATAACCTCCTTATAAAAAACCGTTTACAAGATGTGCTGCCTGGCAGCAGGAGAAAACTAGAGGTTGACTGATTTCCAGTTCTTTTTTTGTTAAACCCCTGGGGGCCAGCACGTCCTCTAAGGGTGGGGAGAAGAGAGCAAGACTGGCACATTCTTTCCTCTTTGAGGAGGAAGAGTCGTGGTCAATTAAGCCACTGATCGGGTGGCCTCCTCTGAGTGTGTACAGATGTCTGTAGGCCCCTCATATGGTCAGTGAGCTCTGGGATCGGCGGTGGCTGCCCCGGCTGAAGGGCCGGTTCAAGTTAGTCTGTCCACTTGAGTAGGCTCCGGATGCCAGCATCCTACTAGGCTCCAAGAGCAGGTGCTCCCCAGATGAGAATTTAGCCCAGGAGTCCCCCGAGTATGGGTCGTCCCTTGTGTGGTCTCTGCTGCATCTCTCTCCAGGCAGTACCCAGTCCTCCTTGTCCCTCTGCTTGGTGGGGCTCGAGTTCTTTGGGGTGCTCTGGTCTGAGGCAGGCGACCCCAGACGGTTGATGGGCTGGGCCTCTCCGGGGATGGTGGCAGGCCTCTGGTGGCTTCTCCAGCTCTGGATTTCCAGCTCTCTCTTGTCCATGGGGAGTTTGTCAATTTTCTGAGCTCTTAGGATTGGAGACTTCCCATATGTCCCTTGTAGAGTCAGGAAAAAGTACCTGGGGGAAAATAACAGAATAAAGATATTTTGTGACTTCTGACTTCTTGAATTTCAGCACTGAAAGGGCCCTTAGAATCCAAGTCCCCACCCAGCAGAAGATCCCCTTTGCTGCTCTGTTAACTGATGGATTGAATCTATGTCCAAGCACTTCTGGTACTGAGGGAGTTCAACAACGAAATGTAACAGCTAACATTTGTTATGTACTATATGCATAACTCAATGTTATTCTCCCCCAAATCCCAAACAGTTGGTACTTTTGTTTCCCACTATGTACACACATGGAACCTGAGGCACTAAGAGACTGAAAGATTTG